GGCACAAGGACACAAATCCCTGTTTGCTGGTGGCACGTGCAATGGCTCATCAGATGCCTGTCGACACTTCTGACTGCGGTTAGCTGACTTATAGCAGACAACAACTAGACTGAACCCTCTGTTCATCACCTGCTCCAACTCCTGCCCAAGACACCAAGCTTTTTCTTAAAGTCTACGAGATCCAATGAAGCAAATTAAAACACACCGAATGTCAGCTATGATCGTCATCATTCTGCAAAGTGGGCATCCATGTGCATTTCCCCGAGTTATGCAAGCCCAAGATTTCATTAACACAAATCCTGTCCAAGAATCTGGCCAGGGAGGTTTAGTTTTCCATTGTAGTTCACATTGGCTGCTGCAATCTGTCCCTGGGGACCTTGGCCCTCTTCATGCACACTAGAATCAGGAAGGAATGACACCTTCCTAAAATGCAAGAGGCTTCTTCCCGAGGAGGGTCGAGAAGGCTGTGAGATGTTCTCCTCTCCTGTTGTCTCTTCTCCCTGACAAATTTCAGGACTGTATTCGGCCCTGTTTCAAGGAGGTAAAGTATGACAGCATCATATTTTGTAACAATTACTCTTGGGAAGGCCCCTGACCGCAGAAGAAATCGGTGTTTTTGGAATGAAGCTTTCTAGTGGCCCCCATTGAGGAACTAGAAATGCAAACTTTGTAGGGCCAGGAAAGGAGCAGGGGTGTGGTCTCAAAGGGACAGAATAAAAGAACAAGACAGCCCCTGGGGACCAGAGGGGATTTGTTCTTTTGCTGACCTTGATGGCACTAAGCACAAAGCAAGGCCTTGCTTAGTAATGATCAAGGACCTGCTTCTGCTTCAAGCCTGAAGTTCAGTTCCAAACTATGGAAAACTCTCACCAGCCAACTCATTGGTGCCAGCCTTTGATGTCCTCCTCCACTGAGATCAATGGTGACACAAGACAGTCATGAGGAGTGGGAGATGGGGGTAGGGGACAGGGTGGAAAGGAGTTCTCAAGAAATGGCAGCCGAGGCAAAAAATTGAGATTAGAATTTAGATTTGAAGCATGGATACAGAGGGAGAAAGTGAAGGTGACAGCAAAAAAAGGAATTTAAAGGGATGCAGCAGCACCCCTTTAAATTCTAGAGTAGGTAGCCTAGGGAGAGGTAGAGAGAGAAATAGGGCATGTGTAACCTTTGAGAAGCACAGCTTTAGCCTGGCTGGCAGAACAGCAGGCTCTTGAGGAGCGTGGGGAGTCCAGTGGGTCTCAGAGCAGGCCTGATCATGATGGCGATGCTCTGGGCAGGATGAGAAGTTAGATGTGAAACACAGGGGCTCTGGAATCAGATGGGACTGGCCAAAAGCACACATCAGTATTTACTGTCATCTGACTTAGGACAGGATCTGCCAGATTTTGCTCACAGGAACAGAACCACTATGTGATATAGACCATGTATGATAATATAGGGATTTGACACTACACGCTTCCCTGTGTATGAGGTTGACCCCTGATGTACTCAGGCAAAAGGACGTTGGAAAGAAGAGGAAAACAGAAGGTGGAAGATGCAGAACAGGATGGAACACAAGACTGAGCTGGAAACTCCCCTCAGTTCCTCTCTGCAGCCCAAACCTCCAAATTATGAAATCACACCAATCCCCTAAAAAAAAAAAAAAAAAAAAAAAAAAAAAAAAAAAAAAGCTAGTGCCTTTGTCTTGGAGCTAAATGAGCCATGCATCCAGCCCAGGGCACTGTAGCCCAGGAAGCTGTAGCAGGCATGCAGGGAGCTGGTCCTGCCACACGGGACACCAGCGAATAAGCCACATGTGAGTTATGATAGGGCTTCAATGCCAGATATAAAGGAATACATTTGCACCCTCCTTTCTCTGCCCTGGTCCTGCAAAAAAGCAAGCTCCTTCCCATGGTTGCTCAGCACTGTTCAGGGAGGAGAATTCTAGGAACTGGGGTTGGCACAGTCCAAACCCACCTCGGGACACTTATCTCTCATGACTTACTCATCATGAAAGGGCAGATCTGCCCAGACTTGTGAAAACTGAGGGGTATTAAGGCACCGAGAAACACGGCTCGCCATCTGTCAGTACAGCTTCTTCCTGCCACCCTCGTCCATCCTCCCAAGGGAAGGCGGACTCTTACCATGAAGAAAATGTTTCAGGTGAGCAACTAGTTAGAAGGCAGAAAATTAACAAAGAGATGCGACAGATTCAGGTTTGGTTGGACTGCAGCCCAACCACATATTCATGTAATATGCAGAAGCCCCCAATAAAAGAATACACAATATAAGAATGCAAAGTCAGGCAGAAAAATAAGCATTTATTTGGAATGAGAAAATAAACAATGGACTACAAATTTTAAGAACTGTCAAATGCCACGAAATCACAAAATCCAGAAAATTTAAACGTTTTAGCTGTCTGAGATACATCTATAATTCTCTTTACCTATATTTTTACTATGACAATCTTCTGTAACATTCTCTATAGAGATAAATAGCTAATTAAGTCTTTTTCTAGCATGGCTTATCAAAGTATTTTCAGATTATTGATAATTTAGAAAAGTTACTCTAAATTTCAGCATCAGTTGAGATATGTGTTTATGTACACACTGTAAAATGGCAGATATGGTTCCACACGCATACATCTTCATATGTGTGTGTATATATACATGTATAAATTTAGTGTTTCTGCTAGGAATATTAATCAAAAATTGTTTTGTGATTATTGATAGTTTAGGAAAGATCCTTTTGACTTCACAATTTATTGTTTATCTATATCTATGCTGTAAAATGCCAGATGTCGGTATCTATTTATACATCTATGCTATAAAATGTCAAGATGTTTCTCAAAAAATAAAAATCTTATAGCCACCTCGACACCCCCCTAGGGAAGGAGAGATAGCTCACTGTCATAAGCACTTGCCCAGTAAGTGCAAGGTCCTGAGTTCAATCCCAGTACAAAAAAAAGAGAGAGAGGGAGAGAAAAGACATCGCCCCTAAATGAGAAGTTTGTCAAAGAGAAACTTAAAAAGGAAAGAGACAGGAAAGCAGTCTTAACAGTCTTAAAATCTGCTCTGCGGATTTCACAAAATCACATGACCATCTGTACATGGTGCCTTGAAGAAGACCTTAGAATGAAGCTCCCTGAGATTGAAACTTTAAGAGATTCACAGTAAATCTGCTCCGAGGGGAGGAGAGATAGCTGGGGGGTACTCACTAGGAAATGACATGCTCTGACCAAGGTGTTGCATGACAGTAAGCAGAAGTGTAAAGGGGAAGACAAAAAGCCAGGACACTAGCCACCTTTCGTGAGAAATACTAAGATCTCCTCAGGTCCCGCATCTGAGCGGGAGTAAGAGCCAGCTACTGATGCCCACAAGAGTGGTCTGCCCAGAAGGAACAGGAGAGTAGAATGGCACCTACTGAGAATCAGCCTTCCCGGGCAGGCTGCAGAGCAGGGCAAAGCTATCACATCTGGGATACTGGATGTTGAGGGGACAGGAGATGCCTATCCAAAAAGCTCCTTTTAGTTCTGGGTAAAGGATTTCTGTATGGAAAACATAAGCCCTCTAAGTTTCAGCAGAAAGGTTTGTCGGGGTGGAGCTTCTCATCTAAGGAAAAATGAAAGAAATGTTCTCAGATTTCCATCTTGGGTAAGAACACAGCTGGACACAGGTGCCCCAAGGACTCCAAGCTCATCACATGCTGTTCTGCCCTCAGCTGAGACGCACACACTTACCTTTTTCTTTAGCACAATCCCTACCACTATTATAAAAGTAAAATATGCCCAGTGGGTCAAGGGAGGAGTGAAATAGGCCAATTTATTCATAATCCCTTGTTCATATTTGGGTGCATTACCTAAGTCAGTTTCAAGGCGTCATGTCAGAAAGGAGTCCAATTTATATTGTTTTCACTTAGCATGTAAATGTATTTCATGTCTTGAAATACTCAAAGCACAATTCAAGTACTCACTAGATATGTCATCACCCATTTTTAAAACGAGCCAATTTCAAGAGTCCAAGAGAAAAGAAATAAAGAAAAAGCAGGAAAGCCAAAAGTTCAAGTCCGCACTACCAAACACTACATTCCAATCCGCCAGCGACTCCCTCTGGGCCCCCAAGATCTCCTCTTTAATTGCTGGTCTCCCTGCACTGGCCCACACCGACCTTAGGGTTCAGCTTGGGAAAGTACACTAGGTTCAAATCTCTCCACCCAGCAAGCCTGGCCCTGAAAAATCTAGCAAGACAGGCTGTGGAAAGCAGGCCTTGCACGCCCCCGGGGCTACTTCCTCCTACACTGGGCTGCCTAACACTGGGTCAAAGCCACAGACTATTAAGAAATGTGGGGAATTCTCTTTCCCTTCCTGTTACTCTGTGCCTGGTACCCACCAAAGCCCCACTACTTCCCTAAACAGGACTCTAACTACTGTACCCATAAACCCCTAAAGCCCTTTTCAAAAACGAAGGTTAAAAGCTTAATGTGTACTTTCGAGGCCATTCAGACAGCCAATGTTTGAAGTAAAGAAACAAGTCCTCAACTGGTGATATCCAGACATCAGTACCTGGAGACACCGACTAGGGCTCGAGGGGCCACGTGGGGCTCATCCCGGGTCTTGGGTTCGGAGGGATCTTTCCACAAGGCGCCCAAACTCCCCGCCTTCGAGGTGGGCACCTGGTGGTGTGGGGGATCTTTTCTGCCCTCCTGTTCTGTGCTGGGGAGTCCCCATTGTGCAGGCCACAGAGGCCATACTCAGGCTGCGACAGCTGGACCTGATGCGGCCAGCGCAGAGCCCCGGGTTCCAGGGACACCCGGAAAGTCCCGCGGAGGCCCGGGGGCAAGGGCAGGGGCGGGGGCGGG